ATTTAAACCAAAAATCATTTTTTTCTTCTACTGATGACTTCAGTCTAGTATTTTCATCTAAAAGTTCTGTTTCTTGCGAGAAAGTTTTGAGGATTAAACTAACAAGTGCATTGAAATATTCACAAAAGTTACAAGCAGTGTTGATCCTGGAATGGTAGACTCTGTCACTTCTGCCTCTGAAGAGCTAAAGAATCTACTGTGTCGATTCCATTGCTGGCTCCACAATTCAGACGAATTTAAGCCACATGATTGCCTGTTTATGAAATTTTAATGAGAAGGGACAAAGAAGTTAGACACTTGCTTAGACTCTCTGAAATCACTTTTTCTCTTGAGAATGGCTTTTATTTCTCTTAGTCCCTTATCAGAGAATGTCACGCGAAAACCCCTACACCTTGAAATGTCTTTAATCAATCTTCAGACCTTTCAATTCTTAAAAATCTATTCCCTTCTCCCCACCCATTTCAAGACTTGAAATAAAATGATTTTCCAGAAATGGATGACAAGATGGCAAGGGTGACAATTAATAACCCCCAGAACCCCTTGCTACCACACCTTTCCTATTTAAAATGATAAATTACCTATTTCCCTCAGACTTTGTTAAAAAGATGATCAAAAGAGAGAGGGAAGAGTTGATATAATACAACTCATCAGTGAAACGCTGCTGAAGCTTCAGCAGAGAGAAGTTGAATCCCTGTCAATTTAGAAGCTGGTAATTTGGATAATGAAATGAGGCTTTTTGCTTTTTTAGCCCCAAACTTCTGGTTTTGAAGTGTAGGGGTGGAGAGGAAGATAATTTCTTGGAAAAGATAATTTGGCAGAGGGTAAGACTTTTCTTCCTCTCTGCTTCTGTCTCAGACTTAGAACAAACTTTAAGGAAGGAAAGTAAACTTGAGGGTGAGTTGATGCTCCTATGGGCTTTGGGGGAATGGTGTGTATGTGTGTGTGTTTGTGTGTCTTTGGGGGAATGGTATGTATGTGTGAGTGTATGTTTATGTGTCTTCGGGGAAATGGTGAGTATGTGTGAGTGTGTGTGTGTCTTTGGGGGAATGGTGTGTATGTGTGAGTGTTTGTGTGTCTTTGGGGGAATTGTGTGTATGTGTGAGTGTGTGCGTCTTTGGGAGAATGGTGTGTATGTGTGTGTGTTTGTGTGTCTGTGGGGGAATGGTGTATATGTGTGAGTGTGTGTTTATGTGTCTTTGGGGGAATGGTGTGTATGTGTGAGTGTATGTTTGTGTCTCTTTGGGGGAATGGTGTGTGTGTGTGTATGTGTCTTTGGGGAAATGGTGTATATGTATGAGTGTGTGTTTATGTGTCTTCGGGGAAGTGGTGTGTATGTGTGAGTGTGTGTGTGTCTTTGGAGGAATGGTGTGTATGTGTGAGTGTATGTGTGTCTTTGGGGGAATGGTGTGTATGTGTGAGTGTGTGTTTGTGTATCTTTGGGGGAATTGTGTGTATGAGTGAGTGTTTGTGTGTCTTTGGGGTAATGGTGTGTATGTTTGAGGGTATGTTTGTGTCTCTTTGGTGGAATGGTGTATATGTGTGTATGTGTGTGTCTGTGTGTATGTCTTTGGGGAAATGGTATGTATGCATGAGTGTGTGTTTGTGTGTCTTTGGGGGAATTGTGTGTATGTGTGAGTGTTGTGTGTCTTTGGGGTAATGTTGTGTATCTGTGTGTGTTTGTGTGTCTTTGGGGTAATGGTGTGTATGTGTGAGTGTGTGTTTATGTGTCTTTGGGGGAATGGTGTGTATGTGTGAGTGTATGTTTGTGTTTCTTTGGAGGAATGGTGTATATGTGTGTGTGTGAGTGTGTGTGTGTCTTTGGGGAAATGGTGTGTATGTGTGATTGTGTGTTTGTCTTTGGGGGAATGATGTGTATGTGTGTGTGTGTTTTTGGGGGAATGGTGTGTATGTGTGAGTGTGTGTTTGTGTGTCTTTGGGGGAACTGTAGGCTGTGGGGAGAGGTGGGTCCCAGCTCAGCTGCAGGATGCTGTGTGATTAAGGGGAAAGTGTGGGTGTAGGTTACTACCAACTATGAGACTTTAGCCATGACCTGTCCTTATCCATTACTTGTTGATAACATTACAGTTTCTTCATCTGTAAAATGGGGATAACAGCAGAGCTTTGCCCCAGAATTCTTCTGAAGATTAAATAAAATGATGCCATTAGAGCATTTAGCCTCATCCCAAACACACAGTCAGTTGTGAACTCTGAAAATCTGAGACAGGTCTCAGTGAATTTAGCAAGTTTATTTTTCCGAAGCTGAAGACGCACCCATGACACAGTCTCAGGAGGTCCTGATGGCATGTGCCCCAGGTGGTCAGAACATAGTTTGGTTTCATACATTTTAGGGAGACATCAATATATGTAAGATGTACATTGGTTCCATCCAGAAAGGCGGGATAACTCAAGCAGGGAGGAGGTTTCCAGGTCACAGGTAGGTGAGAGACAAATGGTTACATTCTTTTGAGTTTCTGATTAGCCTTTCCAAGGGAGGCAATCAGATACGCATTTATCTCAGTGAGCAGAGAGATGACTTCGAATAGAAAGGGAAGCAAGTTTGTCCCACGCAGTTCTCAGCTTGACCTTTCCCTTTAGCTTAGTGACTTTGGGGCCTCCCAGATTTATCTTCCTTTCACAATGTTGTAAAAATGTTTATGTAAAAAGTAGGTAAAACCATTGATTTCACAGGATGCCACTGAGGATTGAATACATGCATAAACTGTTTTATAACATTACTTGTTGATAACGGTCAATAACATCTACTTTACAGATCCCCTAATGTGGAGTCTGGCAGCTGTACTCCACATGTAGGCTTTTATATCAGGATCCCCTAGTCAGTGTCCAGCAAATGTGTGAGTTTTCTAGGGCTTTTGTTAAAAAAAAAAAAAGCCACCACAAACTAGATGGCTTAAAGCAGCAGAAATATACTTTCCCACAGTTCTAGGGGCTTGGCGTCTGAAATCGGGTGTTGACAGGGCCACGATGCTTTCAAAAGCTCTGGGGAAGAATTGGTTCCACGCCTGTCACGTGGCTTCAGGGATTGGCCTGTAATCCTTGGTGTGCCTTGGTTTGTAGCTGCATCATTCCAGCCCCTGCCTCTGTCTTCACATGATGTTTTCCTCTTTGTCTTCTTCTCATCTCATAAGGACACAAACCACTGGACTTAGGATGCATCCTGATCCGGTGTTAACTCATCATAACGTGATTGTCTTTACAAATATCCTATACACAAATAAGGCACTGGAGGCCGCAGTTCAACCTAAAGTAAAGGCTCAGTGGCTTCTGATATTGTGGGCTTTTTTTCTGTCAGAGTTAGTACTTGCTAAGACCAGGGATGAGGACTGGATGATTCTTTTATTTATTTATTTTTATTTTAAAACGGAGTTTTGCTCTTGTCGCTCAGGCTGGAGTGCAATGACGTGATCTCAGCTAACTGGAACCTCCCCCTTCTGGGTTCAAGTGATTCTCCTGCCTCAGCCTCCTGAGTAGCTGGGATTACAGGTGTGCGCTACCACATCTGGCTAATTTTTGTATTTTTAGTACAGATAGGGTTTTGTGCCATGTTGGCCAGGCTGGTCTTGAACTCTTGACTTCAGGTGATCCACCAGCCTCAGCCTCCCAAAGTGCTGGGATTACATGCATGAGCCACCACACCTGGCAGGACTGGATGGTTCTTGAGTCCGAGCTCTGTGTTGGGCTCAATGGGAAGCACTTTATGCATTTATTTAATCTTTGGTGGCGTCCTGTGAAACAGATGGTTTTATACTCTTTGTACATGAATATTTGTACGACATTGACTGTGTGCTAGGGAATGAAGCTAAATGCTCTGCTTGCATGCTTTTATTTAATCTTCAGAGCAATCCTGGCGGAAACTCTGTTGCTATCCCCATTGTACAGATGAAGAAACTGACTCACAGTGAGGCACAGTAAGGACAAATTCATGTCTAAGTGTTGATGTTGACTTAGGAGAATTAACTCTTGTTCTTTCAGTTCAGAAAGCAAGTCCTCTGTATGCAGACGTATCTTCCCTTCGTGGGGAATTAAGTCAGTGAGTGACAGGCTCATGACCCGCCCTCTTCCAGACCTGCATTACCAGCATGTAATTCAGAGTCATGAGATGTTTGCTCTGGAGATTTGGAGATCAAATGGGAGAGGAACAGTAGGTGAACGTGATTAAATCATCATGTCTTTGTAGGAAAAAAAACCCCACTAAGATGAGATTTTAGAATTTCATGATCAGTCTTTTCAGGCTAGAAAAACAACTTCTTCCTGGAGAGTGATCCTCGGGTTCCTGGGAGAAGGAGAAGTTGAGGTTCAGCTGTATCCCAGAATCTCCTCTGGGGTATCCTGCAGGAACCTCAGACTCAGCCTGTCTGATCCTGAGCTTGGCACCTCCTCTGTGCCCAATTTCCTTCTCCTGTATTTCCTATCACTGTGATCAATACCACTGACCACTGTGTGACCCAGGCTAGCAACTGGGACATCAGCCTGGACTTAGTGTCCTGGTTATGGGTCAGGTAAAGTCCCAAACCCCACATGTCCTTCTTGGACAAGGCTGTGTGGCCTTGAGCAAGCCACTTGACCTCTCTGTGCCTCAGTTTCCTCATCTGTAAGACAGAATAAATTCTACCCGCTTTGTTGGATGGTTCTGTGGGTCTGTAACTTTATATGTGTAAGTTCAATAAATGTTAGCTATTTTTTTTTTTTTCTCCTCCAGTATATAGTCAACCCACTTCTCTCTATCTCCACGGCCACAACTATCTGAGGTCCTCATTATCTCCCATCCAGATGCCTCCAGGAGCTTAAGGCCGCCACCCAGGCCCTGTCCAATCCTTTCTCCACATGGTCAGAGACATGTTTCCATGATGCTCAGCTTCCCTACACACAGGGGCCCTGGTGAGCAGCAAGGATAGAGGCCCACACAGCCTGTGCACCAGGGTTTCTGGGACAGCTTTAACCACACATGGATGGGAGGAGTGGCAGGTATAGTCCCCACTCACCGTTGTCCTTTTGCACCCTTGGCCAGCACACTGGGCTCCGGGAGGACCCCATGGATCCCATCCATTGGGCTGCATGACTTCTAAGCCATATAATCAAAGAAGCACCAGCCCCTCCCCTGGTGTGATCAGGAGCTGCCATTCAGCAGCAATGTTGTGGGCAGACGCTTGGCCTCCAGCTCCAATGCACTTATCTGCATTTGCCCACTGGGAGAGCCAGCCCTTCCTTGGCATGAGCAGGAGTTTGGGGGCCAAGCCTCAAGGATATAGCAATATGCCCTATGCCCCTGCAGAAAGTTAGCTTCCATCCCATTATCATTGATGATTAGGGGAGTTTCAGCCCCTCCCCTTGCATGACCATGGGACTATGGGTCTAAGCCTTGAAGCAGCTGTGTGATGTGGTGGAGCAGATCTTCCACCACACCCATTACCAGGTTTGATTGCCACAAGCTGTCAGCTGCAGCAGGTCTCCAGGAGCTCTGGAGGAGACCATCTCCCTCTCTGGGAGGCCGGTGGCAAGGGGATCAGTCACATTGACCCTTAGCTCTCAGCATCCCATTCTATTTAGAAGAGCAAATCCCTGGATGGTCCTCCCTTCCCTTCCTCTCCAGCCTGGCTCAAATTTTTTCCTCCCTCAAAATAACTCCAGCTTGGCTGGGCATGGTGGTTCACACCTGTAATTCCAGCACTTTGGGAGGCTGAGGCGGGTAGATCACTTGAGGCCAGGAGTCTGTAGTCCCAGCTACTCGGGAGGCTGAGGCATGAGAATTGCTTGAACCCCAGGAGGTGGAGGTTGCAGTGAGCTGAGATCATGCCACCATATTCCAACTTGGGCAACAGAGCGAGACTCTGTCTCCCCCACTCCGCCACCCCACAAAATAACTCCAGCCATACTGAACAGCTGGTAATTCTCCAATCTCCCACGTCCCTCTTTTCCTGGCCCTTGACCCTGCTGTCCTCTCTGTCACCATCCTTCTGTTATCACCCACCTCGCTGCCACCTTTCCTAGGAACTCTTCTTCACCCTCAAGTTCTGGGCTTAGGTGCCACCTCCTCCAGGCTGCCTTCTCCTGCCCACCCCCACTTCCCTGCCAGCAGGGTCCCTCTCCTCTGTGCCTTGTATGCCACTGCACTTTTTCCGACTTGGGATTCTGTGTTTGGTATTGTGAGTAGTTATTGATTCATTTTATGTAGGGGAAATTCATGTAATGTAAAATTAATCATTTCAAAGTGAACCAGGTGTGACGTTTAGTTCATTCACAAGATTGTGCAACCATAACCTCTATTTAGTTCCAAACCTGTTTCATCACCCCCCCAAAAAAACCCATGCCTATTAACAATCGTTCCCCATTCCCCACCAGCCCCAGCTCCTGGCAACCACGAATCTGCTCTCTTTCTCTTTTTTTTTTTTTT